CGCGGACCTGGCCCCCCCACGGCCCCCAGCGCGCCTGGCCTGGGGCGGCCGGAGCACTGCTGCCCTGCACCCACTGCGGTCATGAGTGCGTCCAGCCTCAGCCCCGGCCTCGCTCGGCCCCGACGAGGGGCCCAGCCGGGAAAGCCCCCGGCAGGCGCTTACCAGAAGGAGCCGCCCAGGCCCCGCGCAGCTCCGCAGCGGAAATGGAGCTGAATATTTGAGCAGGTCTCTGCTAAAAGCACCGGCCTGCCCGGCCCCGGAGCCTCTCTGAGGCTGGGAGAAGTGCCGGCTGCCGCCCAGGCATTAATTATTTATGGAGAGATGGAGCTGCGCGGCCTCACACATGCCAGGCTGGCAAGCGCAGCCCTGGGAGCGCTGGCTGCCGGGCACCCCGGCCCCCGCACCAGCAGGGAGCGTGGGTGGGCACCCTGTGGGACCCCCAGCCCCTCCGCAGCCCCTCGTCCCCGGGGGTCCTGTACCCGGGGGGTGCCGGAGCCACCCACAGACCCCAGATCTCACCCAGCCCAGGGGCTCGCTCCGCTGGTGCGAGTGTGCGGGGGGCGGGATGCGGGTGGGTGCGTGCTCGTGCACACGAACGGTGGTGTCAGCGTGGGTGACGGTGGGTGCAGGCGTGCGGGGACCCGCTGCCGCGAGCACGGGGGGTGCACGAGGCGGGTGCGAGGAGAGGGCGCGTGGGGCGCAGGGAGCCCCGTGCCGGCGTGAGTGGGTCCCGCAGGGACGTGCACCAGTAGGCGCAACTGCGAAGGGTCCCATCCCCGTGCTTGTGCCCGTCCCTGGCCCGGAGCCCCCTCGCCGGGGGTTGGTCCTTCCTTCCCGGCAGAGCCACCTCACTCCGCCACCACCGCCACGACCAGGCTGTCCTGCTGGCCTGGGCCGCGGCCCAGCGGGACCCAGGGTGCCCGAGGGGACATGGGGGTGCGAGGGGCACGCACAGGGTGCGCGTGGGGCTGGGCAGCGGGCAGGCCGCGCTCGCTGCGGTGCCCGTGCTCAGGGCTTTCCATAGGGCCGGTGCTGCTGCAGTGCTGTGCTGGTGCTCGGTGTGGTGCTGGTGCTTGGTGCGGTGCCAGTGTTCAACATGGTGCCGGTGCTGCTGCAGTGCCAGCGCTCACTGCGGTGTTGGTGCTCAGTGTGGTGCCGGTACCGCTGCGGTGCCGGGTGCGGCGCTGGCAGTGAGCGATGCTGCCCTGCCCCAGGGCTGCGCTGGCCCGGCTGTGACCCCCGCAGCCCCCAGCCCGGCCGTCCCTCCCAGGAACTGCTGCTGGCAGGTACAAATGGGGCCGGGGCCTCCCCAGACGCAGGG